CCATTGCGCTGCCTCCTCTGTCGCCCGCAGGTGGGACACGACGCGGCGGAGCCGTTCTCCTTCCACTGGTGGGACCACGTCTTCAACAAGGCAGCTGCCAACATCGCCGTGGAGGCCGGGCAGGTAGGGGTGTGGTGGCAGGGGACACCCTGGTCGGGCCGGGATGGGGCTTTAGGGTTCCCCTTGGGGTCCCCCACATAGCTTATTGCTGCTGTGTATCCCCCAGCGTCTGAGGAGAAGGATCTGGGGGTCCTGGTGGCCAGTAAACTCTCCAGGAGCCAGCAATGGGCCCTGGTGGCCAAGAGGCCAATGGGATCCTGGGCTGCGGAGGGAAGAGTGTGGCCAGGAGGTGGAGGGAGGTCATTCTCCCCCTCTGCTCTGCACTGGGGAGGCCACAACTGGAATCCTGCCTCCAGTTCTGGGCTCCCCAGTTCCAGAGAGACAGGGAACTGCTGGAGAGAGTCCAGCGTAGGGCAACGGAGATGCTGGAGGGATTGGAGCATCTCCCTGATGAGGAGAGAGCTGGGGCTGGAGAAGAGAAGGCTGAGGGGAGACCTTCTTAATGCTTCCAAGTTCTTAAAGGGTGGGTTGAAGGAGGATGGAGCCGGACTCTTCTCAGTGGTTCCCAGGGACAGGACAAGAGGGAACGGGCATAAACTTGTATTCAAGAAGTTCCACCTAAACATGAGGAAGAACTTGTTTGGGGTGAGGGTGGCAGAGCCCTGGCAGAGGCTGCCCAGGGAGGGTGTGGAGTCCCCTTCTCTGGAGATCTTCAAGCCCCAATGGATGCTCCTGAGTGATGTGCTCGGGGCAGCCCTGCTTTGGCCGGGGAGTGGGACCAGGGGATCTCTGGAGGTCCCTTCCAACTCTGACAATTCCCTGATTTTGTGATTCTGTGTCCAGGTGCATTTGAATGTCTCCAGAGAAGGAGACCCCACCACCTCCCTGGGCAGCCTCTGCCAGGGCTCTGCCACCCTCAAAGAGAAGTTCCTCCTCATGTTTAGGTGGAACTTCTTATGTTCAAGTTTATGCACGTTCCCTCTTGTCCTGTCCCTGGGCACCACTGAAAAAAGCCTGGCCCCATCCTCCTGACACCCACCCTTGAAGGATTTCCAGGTGTTGATCAGATCCCCCCTCAGCTTTCTCTTCTCCAGACTCAAAAGCCCCAAGTCCCTCAGCTTTTCCTCCCAAGAGAGATGCTCCAGGCCCCTCAGCATCTTTGTAGCCCTTTGCTGGACCCTCCCCAGGGATGATGATGATCTCTGGAGGTCCCTTCCAACTCACAATGTGATATTGCCCGGGGATGGTGGTGGCAGAGATGCGCTGCTGGAGGGGATGAAGCCCCTCAGGCAAAACACTCCTGAGGCCTTTGTGTCTCTCTTCCCCCCAGGATGGTGTCTCCATGAAGACTCTTTCCAAGGAGGGGCTCGAGATCAGCAACAAGAAGCCCCGCAAGGCCGGCAGCACCAGCAGCATGTTGTACGGCCGCTTTGTGAAGGTAACCTGGCCCTGGGGACGTGGCTCGGGGAGCAGCCGGCCTCTCTGAAGGCTGCTGTGAACCCCACACCCCTCCGTGGCAGCGTGGGCCCCCCCAGGGCCCCCTTCCCTGTGTCCCCCTTTCTCACAGCCCCTCTCCCCTCCGCAGTCAGCCACGCTCACGGCACGTGGGGAGGAGCCCACAAAGCTGCCCCCCACCTCTGAGAGCAGCGAGGAGGAAGAGGAGGAGAAGCTGGACCTCTCTTCGGCCAGGAGGCGAGGCTGGGGCTGGGGTGCAAGTGGTGGTGGGCAAGGAGGGCTGCCAGGGGGAACCCTGCGCCGGATTGTGTCCCCCCCCACCCCCGGTGCCAGCTCTGGGGGTGACACGTCCTGTCTGTGTCCCACAGGCTGACGGACGAGGAGCTGATGCGAGCGTGTGGGGGCCGCACGGCGCACAAGTAAGTGGTTGTGGGGGGCTGCACGGTTGGGCTCCCCCCTCTTGGTGGGCTTGGGTGGGGGGCACGTTCCCTGCCAGGGAGGTGCCGGACCCTGGGTGCCCACCCTCGTTGCAGGGGTGCCCGTCACGGGCTGACCATGAGTGCCAAGCTGGCACGGCTGGAGGAGCAGGAGCGAGCCTTCCTGGCCACCTACCGACAGCAGCCAAAGCCCCCGGAGAGCAGCTCCCCGGCAGAGGGGCAGGAGAAAAGAAAGAAGAAAAAAAGGAAACGGTCCAGGGATGGAGCTGATCCCGAGGTGCTGCAGAGCCAGGAGCCAAATGAGGAGGAGGAGGTGGTGGGAGAGGAAGAGAAGGTTGTGAAGAAGAAGAAGAAGAAGAACCAGGAGCCAAGTGGAGAAGAGGAGGTGGCAGGAGAGGAAGAGAAGGTTGTGAAGAGGAAGAAGAAGAACCAGGAGAACCAGGAGCCAAGCGGAGAAGAGGAGGTGGCAGGAGAGGAAGGGAAAGCTGCAAAGAGCAAGAAGCAGGAGGACAAAGAAGAGCCAGTTGAGACAGAGAAGAAGAAGAAGAGGAAGAAGGACAAGAAGAAGATGGAGAATGATACAGAAGAGCCGGCTGAGACAGAGGTACCTCTCGAAGACACAGACGGGCCAGACCAGGCTGGGCACGGCCCCAGGAAGAAGAGGAAGAAGAAGAAGAGGGAGCCAGAGTGATGAAGGGTGAAGGCTGCTGGTCCCATCTGGCTGTGAGGGTCCCGATCCTGCCCGATGGTGCTGGGGGTGCCCAGGGCTGCTCCAGGCTCTTCCCAGAAGGACCCCAGCGCCGTGGCCCAGCTGTGTGCTCCCTGCCTGGGGACACTGGGCTGGGACTGGTTGGTCTGGAGCTGGATTGAGCTTTATGTCACTCCCTGAGCCTTCCTCCCGTCAGGGGGGATCCCAGTTCCCACCAGGCCCTGGGGGGCAGGGACCCATTTGCTGTGGGTCTGTCGCAGAGGGACACAGGGGGACAGACCCCACGGAGAGTGGAAATATTTTGTCCAAGGGCTTAAATAAATCTTTATTGCAGTGAAACTACCCTGAAGGGTGAGGTTTGTGGCAGGAACCCCGCGATCCTGCATCCTACACCTCGAAGCGCCCCAATTCGGTACCAACCCTGAACGCTACCCCCCCGACAGCCCCCCAAAAAGTTCCCGGGGGCTTTGTTCTCCCCTAAACTTGGATCACACTGGTGGAGCTGGGCAGAACTGGAGCCCGGGGAGGTGCTGAGAATCCTCCTGGCAGAGAGCGTGGTGGAAGCGGGCGCCCGGCCCTAGGTGAGCTGCAGGACGCAGTCCGTCTCGGGGTACGGCGGCAGGTTGAGGGCGTATTTCTCCTGCAGCGCGGGGGGCACGAACCTGCCCCCCAGGAAGTGGTACCGCCCGGTGAAATGCTTGGCTGCCTTTTTGGGTGCCGTGAGGGAGATGAGCATGTCGGGCTGGAGACCGTCCGCCTTCCCCTTCTCCACATCCCAACCTGCAATGAGCCCCCCCAGGGGGGACAAGCTGGAGCCAGGAAAGCCCCCATAGGGGCACCTTCTTGTGGGGAGGGCTCTGGGGGGGGGTTACTCACCCGAGGGGATGTCGATGCTGGCGATGGGCACCGTGATGTGCCCCAGGGTGTCCAGGATGCTGCCGAAGGGCTCCCGCACCGCTCCCTTGAAGCTGAACCCGAAAATGGCGTCCACCACCAGCCCGTAGAGCTCATCGATGAGCGCGGCCTGTGGGGAGGGGGGGGACACACACATCCAGGGGTGACAAACGGCTCCTGGGACACGGCTCCCGGGGCCAGGGGTTGCTCCTCACCTCGGCCGGGAACTCGGGGAGGAAGGTGATGTCCATCTTCTGGCACTGGGTGGTCAGACCTTCAAAGAGGGGCTTGTTGGGGCGCTTGGGGTAATAGACGGTCGGGACGTAGCCCTGTGGGAGGAGGAGGGGGCTGAGCAGCAGGAGAAGCCAGAGAAGGGGTTGGGGGGGGGGACAACACCCCAAAGCTTGTGGGTCTGGGGGTGCCCAGGGATGGGGGGTGTT